CGATGACGTTATCCACGTAACATGCTATCACATCATCCACATCATCGCATTCACGCATGACTGTGGCATGCAAAAGACCGAAAAACGGCGGAAAGGAGATATAAACCAACAAGAAAAGAAGAAAAAAAAAACAAGCTGCCGCGTTACAGGAAAACAAACAAGCTGCTGCGTGTCTTCTCCCCCCCCCTTGTCGTTGCGTTGTCCACCGCTAACCTTTCCCGTCCTCCTCGACTTCGTTCGTCGCTCACTATACGCGCATGCCACTCACATGTCTCCGTATACCGATGAAAACAGACTGATGAATATAAGCTATAGGTAAATTCACGCACCGTTTGGTCAACAGAAGTGATAAACTGTTTATTGATGAACTCGTTCATGATGAGCGTGGCAAATGGATCGACTGATGACGAGCTTGGCGAATGGATTGACGGATTGACATGGATGAGAAGAACTGGATTGATGGACTGACATGGATGAGAAAAACTGGATTGATGGATTGACATGGATGAGAAGAACTGGATTGGCAGTCCCTCGTCACTGCCGCAGCTGTGCGCTGTACGCATAACGTTTACCACAACCGTGCGTTGTATTCACAACGCGTACGACATCAGTGCGCCGCATAACACGTAACAGTACCGCAACTTCAGCCTGGTGATGTACGTACAAGTGATCTGTCTGTGGTGAATCACGTGCTGTAATGTGTCTGAGTGGATGAATTCTGGGGCCCGCGGATTGTGACACGTGTACACCGCATCTGTCGCGATCGTATATCCCAAGTCTTATCATATCTGTCCCGATCCTATGCTATCGATCATGATATCCTTTGCCGTGATGATGTGGCGATGCATGAGTCGTGACGACAATGTGTGGAGATGTGTGACGTGGGGACGTGTGTGGTGATGTAGGCGGGGTGATGTATGTGTACTGATCTACGCGTGGAAATCGATTTTAGATGGTATAAAAAATCTACCAAAAATCACAAAATAAATACTTGGTGTGTGTGACGTGTGTTCTGATGAATGAATCTTAGATGAGGTGCGGCGACGAATGTCATGTGGTGATGTGTGCACGTGCTTGGTGTACGGTGATTTATGTCTGGTGACTCGTTCGCTGTACACAACTTCACAAAAGAAGAATATCCCTTTGGGCGCTTAGCTTTGACGTTCTTGGCCCCGTTTTTTAAACCGAAATCATCGTATCCTGCCGGCGGGAACCCGGTAAGCCCTTACGATTCCGATTCGAAAAATGCCAAAATTGCGACCAGGAACGTCGAAGTTAAAGGCCCAAAGGAAGACTGTGTCAGACTGTATGTGTGTGTGGTGACGTAATAGCGGTGACGTGTGATGTGCGCGGCCTGACGTACTCACATGGGTTCAGCGGATGTATTTCTGCCGCTGTTATCTAATGCTTACACGTGGAACAATGTATTTCTGGCGTTGTTATCTAGTGCTTACACGTGGAACAATGTATATCTGGCGTTGTTATCTAATGCTTACACGTGGAACATAGATGGATACACTCCAATTAGCAGGATTTATACCACGGGTAATGGTACGGTAATTCGTAATATCTTGCCGAGTGGACGAGATTCTGGAGCCCGCGGATTGTTACACGTGTATTCTTGAACTACCGTCTCGATACCCGAATAGAACGCCCGGTCATTATTGCTGTGGTTCAATCTAGATATAGCGATAATGACCGGGCGTTCTATTCGGGTGAAGACGGTAGCACCTGACTGAAATATAGATGGATGGATGTTGAGTAGCACACATGTATGGCTGATCTAGTACATGACATGAACCAGCGTCTATTCTTACAACTGATTGGAATAGAGTTGTTTAGGAATAAATGTGTATTTGATGTAGTCGTTCCGGATACAAACTGCGTTAAGAATAAGAATAGTTTGAGAGTACACGTGTACTAATTGATGTACACCCAATTGGAATACAGATAGTTTCAGAATACACCTGCATTGACGTACCGGTAGTCGTTCTGGATAGGAAGTGCCGATTCGCTACAACAGCACACATCAGGTTTCGAAAATTCCGTAACGTATATACATCAACGACAATGATTGAAAATTGGGTAGAACGGGATCTTTCTACAAAGGTTCAATGATTAAAGATTGAAGATTCCACGGTGATCATAGATTCGGTACCTGCTATTACATGGATTGCGTACTCCAATGGCATAGCATCAAATAACCCGCTGATGAAAAGACAGTACGGAAGAAGGCCCAGAGAAGGGGGGGGGGCGGCCGGGGGGCGAAGAAGTCGCAGAGGGGGGAGAGGGGGAAGGAGGAGGGAAATGGAGAGACGGGGGAAAGGAGGGACAGAGGAGAGAGGAGGGAAGAGGGAGGGAGAGAGGGGAGATCAAATCTTCAATACCTTGAATCTTACCGTCGTATGCGTCTCCATATTTTTAAGTCCGGAATCCACGAACTTATATACATCTCTTGTGATCGAATTGAAACGATGTTTGAGAGATGATACTTCTTTATTTCTCAAGATATAATTGCGTGTAGAGGTGTCGTGGGTTAATAAACAAGATAATACGCCATACGACCATCCTAATCCAACCATCGCAGCTCTTATCTAGACTAGCTCATGGGAATTAAAAATTGGCTGAATTGATGTGAGGCCCAATGGGATCGGAATAAATACATATATTATATAGATACATCTATAATACAGATTTAAACATTTGAATAATATATATGAGTCGGTGAAAGTCCGACGAAACAGTTTGTCACAGCCCCTCGTTTGTTGTCCTCTTCCCCCCCTCTGCCTTCGGTTTACCGGGCAGCTCTGTTTGCCGATATATTCATAAGCGAATATGTTGCCGTTCCGTTCACTCTTCTCGTTTACCCGTAAACACTCGTCAGGCGATTGCTACTCCCACTTGCGCGTCCGGTCTTTTCGTTTAAAGGTGTATTTTTAGACATTTACGCGCTTCGAAGGAGGGAAGTACACGACTCATTCTCATTTCCTTACAAGGACAGACAACTATAACATAGTTTGTGTATACTCATGATCGGAATTCGTTGTGCTCATGGTAAGAGGGTAGTACGTCATAGGTGAGCATAAAATCCCTGCTTCACCGTCATCATCTCTATTCTCATCATCGTCATCACCTCTATGCTGATCATCGTCCTCATCCCTATTATCATCATCATCGTCCTTGTCCCTTTTCTCATCATAGACATCATACCTATTCTCATCGTGAGAGCAAGACGCGGACAACAGATGGATTTACTTCCGTCTAATCCATCTCAGGATAGTTTTGTCTCCTTACAAGGACAACTACTACAGGGTATAGTTCGTATATATTCATGATCAGGATGCATTGTCTTCGGTGGAAAGAGGAAGTACGTCATAGCCGAGCCTAAATCCTTCCTTCACCGTTATCATCCTTATTCTCATCATCCTCGACATCCCTATTCTCATCATCGCCTTCATCCCTAATCTCATCATCGTCATCATTCTTATTCTCATCATCGTCATCATCCCTATTCTCATCATCGTCATCATCCCTATTCTCATCATCGTCATCATCCCTACTCTCATCTTGAGAGCAAGAAGCTGATGAAAGATGGATTCCACTTTCTTCAAGTCCATCTCAGGGTAGTAATTACCCTTCCGTCTTCTGAAAAGGTAGTAATTGCGGAGAGACGACTACGAACCATGTCCAACAGATCCATCTCAGGGTCTCAGAAAAGGCCAACCCTGAGATGGGCCCGAAGAAGGACACCTACTATATCTATATCCATATCAATAGACCCATCTGAGAGTCGAAGAAAAGGAAGGTCATATGAACGGATTCATCCCCGGATATGCCAACGGACTATTACCCATATAAACCGACTACTCTGAGGACGGAGGGTCATCTCAGACACAGCTGAGACCCATCTCAGGGTGCACAGAAAGACGATCACAACCTATATAAACGGACAGACGATCTCAGAGCCTCAGGAAAGCCACCTAAGGGTCTGCCTCAGGACAATTACTGCTATGCATATAAACAGACCCATTTCAGGGAGAAGTCTCAAGGGTCGTCTCAGATCCACCTCCCGGTTTGCCGAATGCTAAATTAATACCCATGTAAACAGGAAGGCCACCTCAGGGGTCCCAGAAGGAAGGAATACTCAGAAAGGATGGACGTCTCCTAATATCATCAGAGAGAGAGGCCAGATCAGAAAGGAAGGAGGGCCGCCACCATGTTTTGTAAAGGAAACCTAAATCAGGAAGGTAAGCCGTATAGGATGAGAGACCTTCGATTGGTCTCTCATACAATTCAGCAGGAGAAAGAAACAAAGGCGAGGCCAAACATACACTCGTTCGCGAAGCACGGGGTTGCAGAAGCGTGAGAAGGAACACGAAAGGACCTCGCGCTAGGAGACGAAGAGAACAGGAAAGGAGAAGGATGGAGAAAGGTGAAGAAGGGTAAGAAAAGGAAACGAGGGAAGACAGACAGAGGATATCTGGTATGAGAATAAGAAGAGAGAGAAAAAGGGAAAACCGAGAGATCGAGCGATGAGATAGGGAGGGAGGTGGCTGGACAAAGGCTAATAGCATTTCCCAGCTTGTTTTATCTACCGTACTGCACCGAGTCGCTTTTCGAACGAGAAGAGAATACTAGAGGCAATATTTCTTGCATTGTCCAGTAACTTGTTGATCTCCCAGACTGCGCTGAGTTGCTAAATTGGACGAGAGAGAGAAGAGACATACAGCGGGTACAGAGAGAGAGAGAGAGAGCTGGAAGAACAGCAGGAGCGAAGAGAGAGCGGGTGTATTGGAGGGAGAGAGGGAGAGAGAGAAACGGACGGTTTCTGACATTATTCGCAGCAACTTGTTGTTCTCCCGGACTGCACCGAGCTGGTTATAACAAGAGTGGGACACAGAGCGCGAAGGGAGAGAGCTAGAAGAAAGCGGGGGCAGAGAGGAGAGAGAGAGAGAGAGAGGTGGGACGGGGGGGGAGAGACAGGGAAAGAGAGAGTGTACCGGACGGCAATGCTTCGAGCGTTTTCCAGCAACTTGTTGATCTCCCGCACTGCGCTGAGTTGCTTATTGAACGAAGGAAAGCCCAGCATTCGCTCGACCATCCTTCTCTGAACTTGTGCCACCATTCCATCCGCCTTTTCCGCCGACAGCGACCGTCCGATGATCGCCTGAAGATACTTCAAGATCTGGGAGAGAGCCGTGTAGGAACCGTCTCTGGTCTTGTCGCTGAGCGCGTCCACGTCCCTCTCTAGCAGGTCCGATACTGACCTAAGTACAGACCGACACGGATCTAGGAACATCGCCGCGCAATCGTCTACCAGAAACTCTGCCGCCTTCGCAATCGGCTGCAACAACGCCTCCATGATCGCCGGCTGCCATCTCTGCAACCCCTGCAGCACCTTCAGCAGCACCTCATACCCGTTGCCATACTGCCCTAGTCCCAAGTAATTCAGCAGATATGCAAGCCAGCAGAAATTCGGCGGTGGCCGACACCGATGACACGAGCACCCATCTGTCGTTCTCACGTGCGCCTTCCTCAGCGTACAGTACCAGTCCCCGTTCTTCGTCCGCGCTGGCGACCCCGCGATAGGTCTCGCGAATCGTTCAGGATCCGACAACTGCGTCGCCACGTCGGGCAGTACCTGCTCCTTGTGTTTGATGTGATATTGGCTCGACTTGTCGAGGCCCAGAGAGAGAGACCTCAGCAGGGGAAGGACGTCATCCTCGGTCCCTACGTCCGCAACAAACAGCTGGGGCAGCTTCACCACCACCACGTCGATCAGCCGCAGGAGGGCGTCGAAGATGTTGCTATGGATGACATCGTTCCATTTCCAAATCGCTTTGTCGTCCAGACACTTCTCGAAGGCATTGGGCACGGCCTCCCGATAAAGGGTCTGGAGCCGGCGAAGTTCCGGCGACACATCCTCGCCCCCTCCGTGTACTATCTTCGCCGCCGCAGCAAGGCAATTGCGGAGTTGAGTAGGGTAGACAGTCCAGGGCCATTTATTGAGCCCTTCGAGGACGATCAAAAGATCTTCACGAGGAAACTCCTCGTCTTCTAGATCGATGTCGTGCGCCGGGATCGGCATATCTGTACCGTCGTAATCCCCTATAGAAGAGTCGTCTTCACTGCTGTTGCTCTCCCCCTCCCACGTCTCGTTATCGGGTGCGGTCTGCCTTACAGTTCCGGGATTGTCCCAGCTGCGATCCATATCTGCCCTCCCCCCTCCCCCCCTCCTTCCTGCTGCCCCTCCTCTCTCCCTTCAACAAGACCACCCAAGTCTCTTCCACGTACGTGACTCTTCTGTGTCCCTCCGTCGCTGAGTGAAACCGCGGCAATAAGTAATAATCACTTATCACTTTACTTTTGGCAATCCCCGCTTGCTCCTGAGCCACTCCCGCAACCTGCTGCTCTTGCCTGGCGAATCTTCGGACTGCTGAGCCTGCTCGACCTAGCACAAAGTGAAACACCAGCTGAAGTTCGTCTAGACTACACCACGACCACCCAACTCTCCAAGCAGGGCAGGAGGAAAGCCTTGCCCCTACATCAACTTTGGCGATCACCCGAGGAGGATCCCATTCGTGGAGTCAACGATCTCCTCCCGCCTCTCATTGCTTCGCCTTCTCTCTCCCTCCTCATCACAAACAGAAATGCTTTCTGCCCTTCTATCCCCCGCAACACCACACCTCGAACGAGGGTAAATCGACGGCGAAGCACCGGAAGTCTCCCCTTCCCCAAGAGACAAGATTCAACGCCCGCAGCCACTCAATAGTTGCGCTACGTCCGCAATCTATTATTCCACCACCATCCCGGGTGGCTCTCTCTCTCTCTCTCTCTCTCTCTCTCTCTCTCTCTCTCTCTCTCTCTCTCTCTCTCTCTCTCTCTCTCTCTCTCTCTCTCTNCTCTCTCTCTCTCTCTCTCTCTCTCTCTGTGTGTGTCTGTGTGTGTGGGTGGGTGGGTGGCTGTGTTTGTGTGTGTCTGTGTGTGGGCGTTATCAATCTCTCGCTATCATCACTTACCCGCCTATTTCTTGGCTGCTGATGGCTACTTCCCTCGACCCGTTTTCTACCTCGTTCCTTCTAAGCAGCGCGCTTGGGAGGAGTAAGCGCGCCAAACGACGTCCTGGGAGGAGTGAAGGGGAGGACACCAGCCACGGAATAGGTTTGTGACCGAGTTACCGCTCATTGAGCAAAGCGCGTCCTCGGAAGGTGGAAGAGGAAGCTGCATACAAGCCCGAGGGAGGCGAGCATAGGGATAGAAAAGGCAACGTCGCTTTGCCCAACGCCCGTTGACAAGTGCGTCCCCTGAGAGAGATCTAACCCTTGTCGCGAAAGCTAAGCGCGGGTCGGAACCCCGCCATCTCTGACCATCCCCACAAGTCCTCAAGGACAACCCGCCATAGGGGCTTTGCACTCCCTCAACACGACACAGCACTCGCTTACCTCGATTCCCAGGTAGGACCGATTTCCGCGAGATACCTACAGGATAGGCTCAGTCGGCTACGGGTGACTGCACTTCAAGCGTTAGAGAACGCCGATAAGAAAAGGAACACGGTGTCGCACTCTTTCCGCCCGCACCGCCAAGCTGTGCAAGGCAAATCCCTCACAACGAACAAGACCGAGGACCAAAGCTCGCCTACGACCTCGGTCACTAGCTCACTGAGTCACACACATTCGTCCGTTTCTCTACTCGACGAAAGCGGGCAGCAGCGCGTGACAGTCACCGCTGCCAGCCCCATGCTTACTGGCTGAACGCGCGCTTGACGAGGGCGCGCACATTCCGAAACTACCCTCCGTCACGCCTGCCGCAGCGTTGCACTGAACACTCCCTCACTCTGCCGTCGATTGTCTACGACAAACGAAGGACGCTGGAAGGACGCCCCCGCCTGGAGAACCAGCGATCGACCTCTGTTCTCGTGGTTTGCGCTCCAGCGCTGAAGATTCGTGTAGTGTAGATCCCGCCAGCGGGTCAGCGGTGGTCTGCTCGGGAGAGCCCTGTTTCGTTTGGGGAGGGGTGGAAACCAATTAAACCTTGAGAGAGGGAATTCCTCACAAACAACCCCACTAGCGGGGCTTTAGTCTTCCTTTCGAGTATGTTTCAACGTGGCCACAGTGCGGCCGTGAGATGTTCGAATCGGATGGCAAGAACAGGTGCATACTCAAAACCAAGTCCAAACCTCCTAGTTGGACTTGGTTTGGACTTGGCCCCCGGATGACACAGAATACTGTGTACCGCGCAAGACATTCTATCTGGCGGGCGAGCGGAGCAAGACGGAAGCACATGCCAAATGACCCTGACATACTTGACAAAGGGGCTCGTTAGACACTCCTCGGGGACGTGATTCCAAGGATTTTGTCCTCGTTCCACCTGTCCTCGGAGATGAAATCGGAAACGAAAATGTGAAAACACTTCGAGGACAAGTCCTTCGGCTCCAAGGATTTCCCAGCCAAATCATCCTTGGCTCCAAGGGACCTCACGAGGTTCCTTGGAGCCAAGGATCCACGTTTCACGGAGAGGAGAGGGCACACACGTAGAGAGACGTTACAACGGTTAAATCGGGATCGTGGTGGCACCCTATTGGTTGAAAGCCTCAAGCACGACTGCTTTTCTTTTTTTCTTTTTTCTTTTTCTCGAAAAAGCTCCAAGGACGAATCTTTGAGCCGGCGCTCCAAGGATGGGTCGAATGATGACGCCGAAAACGGTAAATCCTTCCAAGGATTTCGTCCTCAGGCCCGAGGACGCTTCGGGGAGTGTCTAACGAGCCCCATACTCTGAACTTGTAGCCACAAGCATGTAGCAAAGGGCCTTGCCACACTACTCCTGACTTGGAGAAAATTTTCGAGAGTACCTCCGAACGTCCGAAGACAAGAAAACCCATTCGGGAGTGCGCTTCGCCACATTGCACTCTCAACTTGGGGCGCTCTCCGATTTGGAGGTCAGGAGACACACTTCAAACATAGATTGTCCAGCATGTAGCAACAAAAATTGTGAGAAAAATGCTTATCTGCACACGAGTTCTTTGGTCAAAATACAGGCCTTCGTGAGAGGTCTACCGAAAATTACCTTTTACAGGCGGGAGGTTCAAGCAATTTCGGGAGTGCTCTCGAGAGCAACATTCTTACAGCTCTCGAATTCAATCTGATAGTTTGAACTCGAAAGCTAATGTGGCGACGCTGCACTCCCGAAAATGGCCAAGTAGGGAGTAGTGCGGTGAGCCCCAAAGTCCAATTTTCCTAAATTGATAAAGATATATTGGTCATTGATCTCCTTTCTACGTGCAAAAAAAAAAAAAAAAAAAAAAAACATATCTTAATTTGTAAAAGTGTGACCTTGCCCACGTTTTGGTATGTCCAGGTATGCAAAACACATGTACTACAGTTCAAGGTTTGATATGCATAGGTACACAAAATATATGTACCACATGACTGAAGAAACTAGGATTCCAAACATTTAGAGATTTTTGTTTTGGACGGAATCTGGATGTGACTTTAACCAGATACATGCAGAAAAGTCATTTTCGTAGTACGAGCATTATACATTTGAAAATGATAACGAGTCAAAAGGTGTGTTAAATGTGTATAGCCCATGCCAGTTAGATGTAGACCGGAGTTCAACCTAACGAGTTATTTGTTTTATGCATAATGTGTTGGCATGTAGTCTCGTATGCGGGATACGCAGGGCATGTTTGCGATGTGTGTAGAGTCATGGGGCGATCTCAAACTCAAACTTCTTCATGTACTTATAGTTGAGTCTAAGCCAGTGTTGATTTTAGTTGAGTTTGTATATTAATATAATATGTTGCATTTAGTTTATACAGTTCTTGTTTAAGTTTAGGCATAGGGTTGAAGCGTACGGGGTCACGACTTAGGACGCAAACCCTAACCAATACCTTTTCAAAGCACTCTCACCTTTTTCACTAATTATTCAAAAAAATATAATATCATATCATGAACCTCTCCCGAAGTTTAGTACATGAGGGTTAGGTCTTCATTTTGGCCCCATAGACCGGCTGATCGGGCTAAGTCTACGGCCCGTCACGTTGTTATATAGCGATGGTGTCCTCATTGGTTTCCTAATTAGGTATCTTTTAGGATCCTGACTGTTGTAAATTACCTGATGCATTGAGGGTAGCGAGGTTCGGGAAAGAAGCATGTACTACACGTGCCAAAAAAAAAAAAAAATTGATGCATTGAGGGTGGCGAGACTCGGGAAAGAAAGACAGACTATGCGGGGCATAAAGCAGATTACTTGATGCATTGAGGGTGACAAGGTTCGGGAAAACAATATGGACTATACGGGCAAAAAAATAAATTACTTGATGCATTGAGGATGACAAGGTTCGAGAGAGAAATATGGACACATGGGCTAAGAACCAAAATATCTGATGCATTAAGGGTGGCAAGGTTCGGAAAAAAAACATGCGCTACAAGCGCAAAAAAAACAGATTATTTCGAATGACAAGAGAAAGATGAGAGAAAACTAAAAGAACCCTGAGGAATTAACTACCTACCTCGTCTCCCCCCCCCCTTGTCTATACCACCAACCTACATTGTCGCGCGCTGTGGTCTCGCACCCTACAAGGAGCACCGAACCTCACAGTCGTGTCACGCAGGATTTTTTTTCAGAGTGTTGAAAAAAAAACAGTCACCACTCTGACTGTGCGAGCATGTTATACCTCTCACGACGCTCCATGATAGGTCGCGGTGCCGCGAGGTATAACTTACCTCTACCCAAAGGGTTGTCACCACCCTTAGGTAGGCGTATCCCTGCTGAGCTACCGACCCACATGCGAAGGCTTTTACATGCCTTTGTAGAGGTAGGTCGGCCGAGGGCGTCTGCTCGATCGTCGCAGCATAGGAATGGGGTACGCGAGGTAAGACGTTTAAGACTGACCCGTGAGTCAAGCCAGGTTCAAGATGTGATCTTCCTATCCCAGACTTCTAGATATTCAGGTCGAACTTTTATAAGGCTGTCTATATCCGCTTCTGAGTCTAACCATAGCGATCAAAGTATCAATCAAACCATCTCACTACCAAGGGCAATCTATTTTACTTAACAGATTATGACTTAGTTGAACATTAGACAATATAAAAATTACATAGGACAAATAATGAATATGGAAGTATTATCACCGAGAACCCTTATCACTTTCACAAGTGCTGTGTGTTCGAGACTCTTCAATAAATTGGATTCAGTTCAATAAAAAATCGCGCACAAAACAAACCTGCACAGAATAATGCAAAGACAGTTCACATGCCATGCATTAACGGCGTCAACCATCAACCATTGACCTTGTCCTTAACTCCCCAAACCATA